AATTTGATTGCGAATGATAATACAATTTCATTTTCAGTATATTAAAAAAATGCAACTGAACTAGTGTCAAACTGAACAATTATAGATGGATTTCTCCTACTATTGGCTGTACTTTACAGACTTTGTATATATAAAGTAACTTTCTGCAAAATCTGTAAAATGATTCTCAACTTACTCTACAAAAATGATGCAGACAAATGAAGGCAGCAAGACTGGTTCTGAGTACTATCCTGCTAATTTATTCTGACTGAATTAAGAAATGTCATCTCCAATATCACCAGAGTGTTTTAGTAACGTAATAATTTTTTTTAAAGTGAGTACTAATAAAGCTGACTGATGAATTTACTACCTAATTCCCACACAAAAATGCTATTGATTTATAATGAATTCATTCTCTAATTAACACTATTCCCTTACATTTTAGAACATGGAACGCGAATAGGGAAGGCTCAAAGTTGAGGCTCATCAGAGCAATGTCCAGGTTAAAGATGTCAATTGTTAGCATCTCTAATGTGATATGGTCATCTGCTTCAAATGCCTACCAACTTCCCTGTACGAATCATCTTCAACTCTGACCCAATGAAAGCAAGCTGAAAAGACATACCTCCTACCCCCAGTCAGTCACCTGTCCCTCACAGGCATCCTACTCTGTAACGCACCAAATCTGGGTCTGTCCAGACCATCATGGAGGAACATAACACATTCAGTGGCCTCTACACTGTCCAACTGATAGCATGAGAACTAATCAATTACCAGTCTTATAGAAACTACATGCACAGCACTGGGTTAACTGGCTTTAGCATAAACATGCTTCAGAACCTATTTGAATGTATTAAAATGTTAAAGAGAGAAATGTGCCTGCATATAAATCTTAAGCCAGGAGCTATTTTGCTTTCACAAGCAGAAAATGAAGGCGCTCAATAGCGCCTACTGCCCTGAGAGCTGCTAAGTTTTGAGAGCCCCTGGGCTATCTGGCTGCTTCCATCAGCGATGTGGTACTGGGAAGCCATCATTTACCTTTACTGACTTCTAAAACATTTTTTTTAGAAGTAAAACAACTTTATAGTTCAGCGATTTAAGCATATCGGTATGCACTATTTTATTTATACACTTAAGTGCATAAAACCTTATACAAAAAAGTGCTTAATTTGCTAATAGCCTAACCAAGTAACTTCTATCACCACACTATACTTTAGAACAGGGGCGGGCAAACTTTTTGGCCTGAGTGCCGAATCAGGTTTCAGAAATTGTATGGAGGGCCGTTTAGGGGAGGAGGTCGTGGCCCGGCCCCCACCCCCTATCTGCCCTCCCCCCGGGACTCCTGCCCCATTCAACCCTCCCTGTTCCCTGACAGCCCCCCTGGGACCCCTGCCCTGACTGCCCCCCGCCACCCCATCCAACCCCCCCCCTCCTTCCTGACTGCCCCCCAGGACCCCGCCCCCATTCAGCCCCCCTGTTCCCCGCTCTCTGACCGCCCTGACCCCTATCCTCACCCCTGCCTCCTGACCACCACCCCGAACTCCCCTGCCCTCTATTCAACCCCCCCGCTCCCTGCCCCTTTACCACGCTGCCTGGAGCACCGGTGGCTGGCGGCGTTATAGCCGCGCCACCTGGCTGGAGCCAGCCACACCATCGCCGCTGGGCTCTGCAGCTGCGCTGCCCCAAGAGCTCACAGCCCCGCCGCCCAGAGCATTGCACCGGTGGCAGGGAGAGCTGAGGCTGCGGGGGAGGGGGAACAGCAGGGGCGGGGCCGGGGCTAGCTTCCCGGGCTAGGAGCTCAGGGGCCGGGCAGGAGGGTCCCACGGGCCGTAGTTTGCCCACCTCTGCTTTAGAAGATTCCCCCACACACTTATTTCACTACCCTACAGACTTTTTAACTCTTCAGAGACAACTGACTTGTGGAGTTAGGAACTTCACAAGACAGTAAGCACTAAGGGAGGCAGCCTCCATGACAGATAGAAAGAGTTATGAGTAACAGCAATATCTAATGAATATTTTTTAATTTTTCAAAATCAGTTTATACTAGAGATGCCAACATCTGCAAATGAAGAAATTTTCAAGTGAGTTTCTAACTCAACTCAACTACAGACCTGCAACTGTGCCTCCATAGGCTTGGCCAGCTGGTCAATTGGCTGGTCAACTAATGTCAACTGACTGGTCAACTAACCACCTATTATTTGATTAAAGTCAAATCCTGTCATATATTCCAGAAAGAATGCCCCGATACAGGTGGCGGCCTACCTTTTTGATTGAATCATGGTGCCATCTGTTAGCAGACCTACTGAAATGTCTTGATCACTCACTTTACTACATGATAATGTTATCTGTTGGGAAAGCTGAATATCTTAACTGACTGGAATCTTCTAGAACAAACGTATGTATTTGTGTATGTATATCTTTATTTGCATATCATGCCATCAATATACCTGGCAGTTTACAAAGCACATTAAACAAGTTAAAAGACAGGGTCTCTGCCCCAAAGAGCTTACAGTCCAAACTGACTAAACGAACATACAGAAATTAACTCAGAAGGGAATGCGGTTCAGTCATTAAACCTCTGCCACTTCCATTAAAGTCAAATGGGTAAGAGACATTAACCTACTTGAGGAGTTGGCCTGCTGCCTACCTAGCGTAAGTGCACTTAAAAATGACTTTTTTTACAGCGCTATGTGTGTGTTTTATTTAATTTCATTTTTCTTTTGTTCAATCTTGAATAATGTTCACATTTAAATGCTAACCTAACATTGTTAAATGGTAATAACTATTCTTTCATGTTTTATAACTTCATTTCACTGTGTTTTACATTTTTCTAAGTTGAAATAACTCAGTTGTTTTTTGTAATTAGGCATAAGTATTGTTGTAAAAATTGAGGACGAGTAGGCATATTTTAATTGTTAGCCTAACTGGTAAAAAGTGGATAGAGATTCATGAATTGTTATAATGATCTGTTATGTAAAACTGTTTAAGAAAAGATGTGAGAAGACAGAAAGCCTGACTTAATTTAAACAGTAAGGATCTACTGATGCCACTCAAGGACTGTGTTAACATTATGACTGGTAAACAAGAGGAGCAGAAATCAATGAACCAAAATTGGAATGTTGGAAATTAGACCTAACCATGGACAAAAAATGAGAGAGGATGGGACTATTCCACCTATCACCCTTTTTGGGGCCCTTTAAAAAAAAAAAAAAAAAAAAAAAAAAAAATTTTTGGGGGGGGAAAAAAAAAAGTTTACCATCTCCGTGACTGTGGGGAAAAAAACCCGTTGGCGTGACACCAGACCTTGATACTCCAGTGAGGAAGCTTGACTTTTATTACTACACCAGTGAGGAACCCAGCTTGATACATGTGAGATCCTGCTCTCTTTTCCCATCCCACATGTGCTCCTTTCTGTCCCTGCCTTCCCCATCTTACTCCTGTCCTCCCTCTCTTGGCTTTTCACTTGATCTTGAACTGTACTGCGTGGCACCAGCACAATGAGACGAGACTGCCTATCCAGCTCTGCTCAGCCTGAAAAGGACCAGTAAACGAGAGTGACCTGACTAGACTAACTACATGATGTCACATGATGCTCTGAGGAGAAGGTCCAGCATATACACCTTAACATATTTTAAACCCTCTTCACCAAACAAGGACACTCCCCCAGAGAAGTGGATTACATCATGGAATGGGCCACATAAATACCCCGAGAGAACCTCCAACCACACATCACTGGTTCTTATCTTCCACCACACCGGGTTTCATTAAACAATTACAATCCATACTCAATGGGGATCACATCCTAAAGAAAATATTTCCTGAATCCCCTCTTCTGGCCTTCAAATAACCTCTCAACCTCTCCAAGCTCATCATCAGAAGCAAGCTCCCCATAGTCCAGGACCCACCAACTCAAAGAGGCACCAGACCCTGCCACAAACACATGCAAAACCTGCAGACATATCTCCACTGCTATGATGATCAGTAACCCCCCCAACAGTCCTTTCAAGATCCATGCATACTACACATGCCTCACATGTGGTGTACCTCCTTTCAGTGCATCAAATGCCCCAATAGCAACAATGTGGGTGAAACCAATCACTACTCTCTCAAATGAACTCACACAGAAAAATGATAAAAGACAAACTCCATATCACCGATGGGGCGAACGTTTCCACAAAACAATCACTCCATATCTGACCTCTCAATCCTCATCCTCAAAGGAAATCTGCACAAGGCCTTCAAAAGATGAGCCTGGGAGCTTAAATTTATAACTTTGTAGGTACTAAAAATCATGGACTCAATAAAGACACTAGATTTATGGCTTATTATAACAATCTATAATCCACTAACCCTTCTTCGTCCTGCAATTTCAGAGGTGCTAACTCCCCATTTCACCTTAAATAGTCTCTTACGACATGTTAGCTTCTTCTACTAAACAATCTGTATTGTACTTTAGCTGTAACCTTGTATTTTAGTTGTCTCTCCTTCACCAACAGAAGTCGGTCCAATAAAAGGTATTACCTCACCTACCACACCTTTCTCCAATAGTCTATCAATTTGAGTTTCAAAGCTCTTTGTGTGATTTTGATTCTTTTCCTTTTGTGTGTTTCAATCAATAAATTTCTAACCTCTGGCATTAATTTTATAGTGGGTTTGCCAAGGTATTAAGAAGGTTCAGATCTCTGTATACCAAACTTGAACCTTGTTTAATGTTGGACAGTGATTAACACCTTTAACTCATTGGGCCCATATACTTCATCCAAATTAACACAATAGTATCTATCTAAAGCTTAGGCTACTGGAGACAAAGTCTCACTCTTTTTTTATTACTGTTATTGTTCTAATAAATAAGTGCTTTAAAATATTTGACCATTTTTCACATTATTTGACAATATCTGACCAGTCAACTGACCAATTATTTCTGGACCAAAAGCCCAACCTTGTGCCTCCATAATTATTAAAATGAGATCTCACTTATTTCATTCCAATCACTGATACGAGCTTTAAAAGGAATACACTACCTTGGAAATTTCAGGAAAGTAGCTATCTAAACTGGATAATGAGCTTTCCATTTTGCTTTGTTCATCATCTGCAATTACAAAATAGAAAATTTTAAAATTAAACCGCCATTAACAACTTCAGGAAAATACTTTATTTCCAACAACTAGATGATGACTGTAATTACTACTTCATCAACAATAGTAAATGTTGATATCAACAAAAATAAAGAGCAGACAACTGTGTGCCATTGCCCACTTTCTCATTTTGATTCAGTGACTTCTGTGTTCTTTCCTGTTTGTTGGAGGGTGTAAAGCAATTGTTGCAATTCCATAAATGAGTAGTTTGTACCTTCTTTTCCCACATGGACACCAAATCCTTTACCTAACAATACACACAGGGTTCAAGCCTGATTAAAAGAAGGGCTTGTGTACATGGGAAAGTCGCACCAGTGTAACTTTTTTTTTTTTTTTTTTCAGGAGTAACTGTTTGCGTCCATAGATAAGTTGTCTTGTATGTTTATCTTGCTACCTAAATCATAAAAGTCAGACTGCTTTCCAATTGACTTAAACTATTTTGGAGGGAGATATATCAATGTAAGATCCATGTGGAGGCACTGTCATTCTGATATAACTACATCAATTCAGTTAGTCCTCCCACTGCTATCCCACACTGCACCAGTTCACACCTGAAGTAACCTGTCTAGTTACTTGCACACACTCCACTGTTCCTGGGTCAACTGGACTGGATGGGCCCTCTCCCATGGGCTTAAATGCTGCTTGAAGAGGCCCAAAAAATTCTATTTGTGACTCACATTCATTGCAAATGTATCATCACAACTACACTCAGGCCTCCATGCATAAATGGCATGGTCTACCGAGAACCAACTGAATTATATGATATAGCAGAAGGGATCATGGGAGTTTAACCCTAAGTACCACAATCCTCTGAAAATTAGCAAAAATGCATAGATCCTAGCAATAGCCCTTGGCACCCTGGGTTACCCACACAGAGCATAACGCACTTAGATACAGGGCTGTGCTGCATGGACACAATACGTCGTAAGTGCAGTAGCTTAAACAAGTTCATGGACAGCAGTGCATTATTGATTTAGTTATACTGTTTTAATTAAATCAATATAAACTATACGGGTGCAACTTTCTCATGTAAACAAGGCTGAAATGGCAAAACTCATTAATTTCACGAGGGCAGGATAAGGCCCATGATCTACAGTATTACAGGAAGCGGAAATGATGAAGGCACTAGCTGCTAAGCATGACAAATCCTTACTTTAGGATTTTACCTACATCGATGTTGCCCAAATAAATTTATTATGCAGCCACTAATAACAATATTATTTACCTTCATGAGATTCTCCATTTCTTTTTTCTTGCATTGCAGCTTCGAAGTTTAGTTGGAGAATTTTGTTTAAAGTAGTTATCCATTCCTCCATTTCCAGTTCACAGTCTGCAGCTAGAAGATAACTACTCTTGTCTTGCATCTTGAGTTCAAAAGCAAAACGTTTCACTTTGTTGTTCTACAATAAAATAAAAAGACCTTTCCATATTAGCCAAGTTTTTCCACCTCCCACTTCCTATAAAACAGGGCAGGAAACTGTCTTGCATAATGTTTTCTGGGGTTCATCTACGATAAAAAAAATATATACTGCAACACAAGTGTAATTTTTAAAAAAGTTATGCTTCCTTTTTTCTGCTGCTTCATCTTTGGAAAGATTTTTATAGTGTAGTGACAGTCTAAACCAGTGGTGGGCAACCTGCAGCCCGCAAGGGTAATCCGCTGGCAGCCACCAGACAGTTTGTTTACATTTGCACGGCCGCCTGCACCTCCCAGTAGCCGTGGTTCGCCGTTCCTGGCCAATGGGAGCTGCGTAAGCAGCGTGGGCGGCAGGGACGTGTTGGCCGCCGCTTCCCACAGCTCCCATTGGCCGGGAACAGCGAACCGCGGCCACTGGGAGCTGCGGGCGGCCGTGCAAATGTAAACAAACTGTCAGGCGGCCCGCTAGCGGATTATCCTGACGGGCCGTGGGCGGCTTGCGGGCGGCAGGTTGCCCACCACTGGTCTAAACACTGAAAGCAACTTAATTTACCTATGCTTTTGTTTCCTACCATCGCCCTACTGGCGATTACAAACTAAAAGCAAATACAATGTGCAAATAGGTAGCACTAAAAATCTCAGTCTACAGGTATTTATTTAAATTGCGTGAGTGTCTTCAGTAATAAAATTCTTATAGTAAAAGTTCCCACCTGTATGAGTGTCCTTAGATCAAAGTTCAGAAGCATGAAACCACGTCGCTAACATTTTAGGTATGAGAGCCCTTGACACACAGGTAAGTAAAGAACGACAGGAGTGATCTGTTACAGTCGTAAGTCTACTTTTTGAGTGCCCTCCTTTGGCTGTACTTTTCCATAAGCAATGTGTTAGGGAATTAGTCCTGCTTCCTCACTTTCCCCAGTCAACACAGTCACCCTGTTCTGTAATTATAATCAAGACTTCATATACTCCGTGGCCAGCTTCACCTGAATTCTGCAAAAACAGCCTTGGATTCTCTGGTGCAGCCAACTGGAAATTCTGTGGTTGCTTAATTTTAATTAAAAATTTACATTTAATGAATTAAACATGACTATAAGTAATACAATTACTACAGTAGCCTTGTTTTATATTTTTATATTAAATTCAGTGTCCTCACATTTTCAATATATGCCACAGATCTTTATTCCGATCACAAAGATAGAGTTCTTAGAAAGAGAAGCTACAGGTTTTGGCAGCAGAAAAAGTAAGGAGAGGTAATGTTATTCACTGTACAAGGTAAGTGATTTCTCCTCCTTCTTTAAGCAGTGTCCCTATGGGTGGTCCACTTCAGGATGTGTGCGCGCCCATGCACTCTTGATCCAAGAATTTTGACAGCAATGTCCAGAGGCCCACACCTGTGTCCTAGATATCCTTGTTTTCTGGGGAGCTGATCTGCTTGATGAGCAGTGTCTGATGAGAGGTGTCCCATGGGGAAGGAGGTGGGGAAGGGGGCATGGAGAGGAACTGTAATGCTCAGCCCAATCTGACAGTGTCTAATACCCAGCTGTTGGAGATAATCGAGTCCCAAGCATTGTAAAAGCAAGCCAGGCTATCCCCAAAGGGGTGGGGGAACGACTGGACCAGTGCTCTGGACAGAGGAGTCAAAATGGGTGTTTGCCCTGTGCCAAGGAATGGCATGTGGAGTCCTCAGCTTGAGCCCAACTGCTTCCTCTTGTGGAATCTATCCCTCTTTGTAGGGTACACTTCCAAGGACCTCAAGGTAGCCCTGGAAATCTTGAAGGAATGCAAAGTGTCATCAGTCTTGTCCAAGAACAAGACTCGGCTATCAAAGGGCAAGTCTTCAATGAATTACTGGACATCCAGAATGATCCCAGATGTTTTGCAACCAGGAAGCCCTCCTCACAGTTACTGCCACAGCATAAACCTGGCTGAGGTGTCCACAACATCCAGGGCAGAGTGCAAAGACATTTTGGCCATCAAGCAGCCTTCTTCAACGAACTCCTGGAACTTCTTAAGCGAGGTTTGGGCAACTGTCCTTGAATTGAGCCATACTGACCAATTAAGGAAATCATACTTGACCAGCAAAGCCTGTTGATTTGCGATCATTATCTGTAAGGACAATAAGGTATAGATCTTCCTGCCTAGAAGATCCACCTGCTTGGAGTTTCTGTCCTTGGGGGTATACTTGAAACTTCCCTGCTGGGCCCTGTTTACCACCGTTCTGATCAGAGAATTCGGGGGCAGGTCGGAAAAGCACCCCTCAAATCTCTGCATGGGAACAAAGTAGCGCTTTTCCAGGCATTTTGCATCCATCAGTACTGAGGCCAGTGTACTTCACAGGGCTCTCTCCGGCTCAAAGAGTGCATCATTGATCAGAAGGGCCACTCTCCCAGGAATGGCAAGCTATAAAACATCCACCAGTTTGGGAGTGTTCTCTTGGAGGAACTCTGCTTGGATGCCCAGGGACGCGGCTATGCAGCGTAAAAGGTCCTGATATGCCTTAAAGTCCTCCGGAATAGAAGAGGAGGATGAACCAGGCACGGTATCATCCGGTGATGAGAACGAAGGTCTCAGCTGAGCCAAAACCAGCTCTCGCTCCCGCAAAGAAGTCCCCTGGAGTGAGGACAACATCGGCTCTGCGGGGAGGAAGACCGCCTGGGCTTGTGCTTGATCCGAAGCCACCACTGTTGACTGAGCAGGTGACTTCAACTTCGAACAAGACGAAGAGCAGGATCTCCACCAACAACAAGCGTCCCACTGAGTCCAAGGCCACTCTTATAGGTATGGCATTGGTGGCCAATAGGGGTTGGGCCAGGTACCTCCATCCTGGTGAGGGGACACACCAACCCTGGGAGCCACACTGGTCCATTGGCGGCCCCCAAAGCTCATCGGGTGATGTGGAGCGGGAAGATGACAACTCCAACTCAGAATCAGAGCCCTAGGATCTCGGTGACATGGGCGGCGCAACACCTGACGGAGCCAATAGGTGGTCTGATTAATCCATCAGCCAGAACAAAGAGGGAATCGGCACCCCCAATGAAAGCAGAATGTCAGTATTGAGCATGCCAGTGCCATGGGAAGCATCAGTCCCATCACAAATAGTGGTACCAGAGCGCCCAAACGTGTTGATGTCGAAAGTGGTGAGAGCCGCCATGGGAGCACTTGCGCCATCGAATGCAGCAGCCCAAAGAGAGTCCCCGTGCTGAGATCCCCCGCACTGATTCCAGTACCAGCTCCATCTTCACTAGGGGAAAGGGAGTGTCTAAATGTGGTGCCGACAGACACGAAGGTTCAGCGGCTCACTCCATTGGGGTGGGGGTGGAGCATAGGTGCAGGCCTGGGAAAGTGCTGGACCAACGATGAGGTCGGGACTTAAAGGCAGAGGAAGTCTGCGGATGCCTGGTACACCGACGACATGGACACAGTCTGTACTCAGCATCTCCCACATTGGTACTGGACTCAATGGATGCCCAGAGGCTGGAACTGGAGTCAACGGTATGGGGTTTCTGTCCTTCCCATTTGGTACCAAGAAAGAGTCAGAGGTATCCAGGCCATCCCACACGCCAGAACCAGACTTGTGCTGGTCCGCACTTTTCCTGGGGGACAGGAGTCGCCCCGTGACCTGGAGCGGTCCCAATTGGTCTTATGAGATCTCTTCCTTGGCGCCGATCATGGAGAATGGCTCCCCCGCCTCTTTGATGAAGTGCTTGCCCTGGAACAAGAGGCAGCAGGAGCGTCCAAACCCAAAGGCGATCTTCAGCCCAAGGTGTGCCTCAGTACACCGCAGCAAGTGCTGCTTGAGGTGAAGGTCCTGTGCCACCTGAGTCTGCTTTTTAAACGATTTACAAATTGAACAGCACTCTTTAAGGTGGGCCTCGCTGAAACAAAGCAAGCATCACTTGTGGGAGTTGCTGTTGGGAACTACCCTTCCACATGAAGGACAGTGGTTAAACCCCGGTGAGAACATCACTGGGGAACACTATCAACTAATATTATCTAATTCTAACTTACTAAATACTATAAACTAGGCTAAGACTAAATGCGAGGCTGTGAGACTACAATCACACTACAAACACAACTCTGACTCCAGCCATGTGCGGTGAGAAGAAACTGAGGGGAGTCAGGGCGGTGCCACCTCATATAGCCGGGGAAGGGCCACAGCCACGAGCGCCACCCCTCTACGGGTACTACTAGACAAAAATCTCCAGTTCCGGCGCACTGGGCATGCACACATATAAGTGGAACACCCGTCTGCATCTACTCGAAGAACCACCTATCCTTCTTCAAGTAGCGTCCCTATGGGGCACCATTTCAGGAGATTCATGAGCAGTACCTCAATTATGGAGGAGCGCGCCAATGAGACCAATCCGGTACAGACCATAGAACAGCATCAGTTCTGGAAACAGGCACAAGAGTGTAGTGCTAGGAAAATGTGTGCACTGAAGACCAGGTGGCTGCTCAGCAGATGACTGAGATAGGTGGGTTTTTCAGTTAGGCCACAGAGTTACATTGAGCCCTAATGGAAGCTTAATAACATGTTAAGCTGCATCCCAAAACCCACTTAGACAGTCTTTGGGTGGAGATCGAGTGTCCTTTCTTTCATTCTGCTATCAAGATGAAAAGCAACAGGTAAATCCTAAAGGGCTTACCTCTATTAAGGTAAAAGATGAGACCTCTTCTTACATTCACTCTATGGAAGCTCACAGCTCCTCTCGAAGAGTGAGACTTGGGATAATATACCAGTAGGTGAATCTCCTGATTAATGTGGAACTCCGAAGAAACTAAGTAAGCAAGGGTGCGGCTGTAATGTCATATTGTATCCAATAGAACACAATGTATGGTGGGGTCAGCCATCAGGGATCCTAGTTCCCCATACCTTCCTGACTGTGGCGATGGCTATGAAGAAGGATGTCTTGAGGGGCAAATGAAGGAGGAAACATCTCTCTGTAAATTCAACAGGAGTTACCTCAGCTTATTAAGAACTAT